CACGATAATTATCCTCTCATTTTAAACGACTAGTTATCTCCGTCTAAAACGACAAATTATCTCCATTAAAACGACATCTATCTCCATCGCGGGCAGGCCACGGGCGCCGCGCCGAGAGGATAGTTGTTGCGCCCGCCGAGGAGGAGGACGAGGAGGAGGGGAGACGGTGTGGGGGTGAGGGGAGGACAGAGGACAGCCAGGCCGAGGAGGAGGAGGAGGGCACGGCGGGCCAGCGAGAGAGGGGGAGAAGCGGGAGAGAGGAGGGCCGGAGGCAGCAGCCGCAGAGAGGTGTTGGAAGTAGGCGCGAGGAGGAGGAAGAGGAGGCAGGGGAAGATGAGCAGAGATGAGCGAGCGGAGCAAGCGTGATGGAGCATCGAAATAAACAAGGTGGTGGAGGAAGAGGTAGGGGGCCAGCGAGCGAGGAGACGAGGAGGAGCAGCGAGGACGGAGGAGAGGTTGTTGGAGTAGGGTTAGGAAGGAGGGGAGAAGGCGATTTGGACTAGGTAGGGAAGAGGCAGGAGCGGGAGCAAGGTGTCGGAAGTAGGGGTAGGAGAAGGGGAGGAGGAGGCAGCGGGCAGAAGGTTTGGAGTAGGGGGAGGAGGGAGAGGAGGAGGAGCAGTGGAAGAGCGGCTGAGAACGGTGCTTGGTAGCTAGAGTGGAGGAGAGCAGTGGGGGGGATGCAGGAAATAGAAATATGAATGGATCATGTGTGGACAAGACTTCGGAAGGTATTTAAAGCGTATTTAAGGTGAAGGTTCTAGAGGTGAGCAATTTCCGAGAAGCTGGGAGAAGCGCAGGAGGGAGGCAGGAAGAGTGGGTTATTGGAGCGCGGAGTTATGATGGCGACACCTTCACAGTGTGGATGTTTCCTTATTTTCTAAAGATAGAATTTGGTTGTAGATGTCCTTTGACCTTTGCGTCCGATAACTTAACTTGCTGGCTATTTTACTCGCCGCAGAGATAGGGAGGTATGGGAGAAAGTGTTCTGGGCTGACGTATGCGCCACGTCGGCTCGGCTTCCCACTTCTAGTGGTTTCGCCGACCCTAAGGACGGTACGCCGATGGGGTGGGTCAGGTAACTATAGAGAATATGCGCGCCGATCATCTCGAATTGGGTAATGGGGTACCGATCCTTTTATGTCGTTTTAATGAGATAATATGTCGTTTTAATGAGATAATATGTCGTTTTAATGAGATAATTATCTCGTTTTAATGAGATAAAAATATTTTTCACATGTCCCTTCCCGGGCTCCGTACCTTCTCCCCACATGCAGTCACAGGTGTTTGAGATATTATGTCGTTTTAATGAGATAATATGACGTTTTAATGAGATAATATGTCGTTTTAATGAGATAATATGTCGTTTTAATGAGATAATTATCTCGTTTTAACGAGATATTATGTCGTTTTAATGAGATAATATGTCATTTTACTGAGATAATTATGTCGTTTTAATGAGATAATATGTCGTTTTAATGAGATAATATGTCGTTTTAATGAGATAATTATCTCGTTTTAATGAGATAATTATGTCGTTTTAATGAGATAATATGTCGTTTTAATGAGATAATTATCTCGTTTTAATGAGATAAAAATATTTCTCACATGTCCCTTCCCGGGCTCCGTAGTACGCGTAGTAAATCGTAGGTATTATAAGGCTAGTAAATGACGAATTTCCCTTGTTTATTGAAGTCACACTCTTTCCCTATTATCTACTCCTGCTATTATGTACTCTTGATATGAATGCATCTATGATCATCTATGTCGTTGCAATGCTATACAGTCTTCGCATGTGCACTGTGCACGCACGTACACGTGCTTGCGTGCGTGCACACTGCGTGTGCACGTACACATGCGTGCGTATAAACATAATACATATACGTCTGTACATATATACACATCTAATATATATTTGAGTTCGTATGTATCTATGTATCTATCTATGTATGTATGTATCTATGTATCTATCTATGTATGTATGTATGTATGTATCTTCCCTATAGGCGGCCAAACCGCCCAAGCGATCTGGATGCAATTTTCACAGGGCCATCTCTTATACCCGGGGAGTGTTCCTAGCTGAAAAAAAACTGCCAAACCGTCAAACTCACCGAAAAATCCGTGAAAAACCCCTCAATTCGTGAATCTTTACACAATGTCAGCACTGACTGTACAGTGCTGCCACACAGAAAAATCGATCACTCATTCCATCAGCTGCTGGTATTGTGAAACCGAAACCGAGCACAACCAGGAACCTGTTCAGAGGTTACGACTGCATTGTTTATCAAGAGGCTTTGAAATGAGAAGTGCAACCCATTCGTACATGCTGTTAGAATAACTTTTTCTTATTTACACCATATTACTATTATGTTCCAGGTGTTCTGTACGTTGGGTTGTGCTGTCATATAAATGTCATACGTAACCGTTTTTTACCATGCTTATTATCTTATTAGACTGATTTGTAAATATTTATAGAGATTCACTATAGTTTAGTATGAGTATCATATAGTTTGAGAGGTTACGATTGCTCAAAACATCAACGCATAAAGACGCGTACCAAGTGAGTAAACATTCTTTTATAATTACAAATTTCCCCACTCGCTGGCCTGTCTCTATACTATATATCGACTTTTTTTATTCATGCTACGATTTCAGAATCCATTG